ATTCGATCTAATTTAGGTGGATTTATATGCAAGAGATCTATGTAAGCTACTACATATAAACAAATAAAAATTAGATTTTTTTTTTTGTAAAAGAGTTTGTTTGTTTCAAATTTCTATTAAATCACTTAGTTCTTTTAGTATTGAGTATTTAAATAATTTTATTTTATTGATATTTAATTGAAAATACTTTCATAAGTTATATTATTATTATAAAATTTTGTTTAGTATACTATTGTACATTTTATATAAATATTGTCTTTTAGTTATAAAACATCTTATATATATGAACCGAGAAGCCATCCTACAACATTTCAAATAAAAACAAGATAACAATAAGCAAATTTTTCAAAAAAGTATATACCAAAGATACAAATTTTTAACCTACATATGATCCTTGATTTGAATGATCTTGTTGGCAAAGTTATATCATCATCTGAAAAATACAAATAAACAATTAGTATTGAATATAACACAAATTAACGATATTTCAAGGCATTCTTTGTAATCAACGTTATAAATTGAACCGAGCTTTCCTTCAAAATATAAGTATCCAAGTGAAACCTAAGAGACCGATTAGAACATAATTCAACAAACTACGAATGATTAGTACATAATTTAAGATAGCGGCGAACCTAAAGAAATATCTTATTGTTCTTGTTTTAATTCCATTGAAAATCTGTGAAAAGAAACTGAGATTTAAAAAATAGTTATGGAAAAGTTTGAAGTAGTAAATTGAAAGTATTAGAGTGTTGGTACTTATTTGAATAAGGGAGAAATGTAGTTGAATTTGATAAGCCTTCTTCCAATAATTCTCGATGAGCTGAAGTAATAGTTCCATGAAGATCAAGCTCCTAATAATGAAAAAAACTAATGAATAATATTAGAATCACTAAAGCTAGAACAAACAAATCATAGAGAAAGAAAGATAAATTATAAAAAATCGTCTTTTTTGTTGGCTTCATATTTATAGAGAGACATATATTAGTTAGCAAATATAGGGTTCGACGGTGAAAATCTTAACTAATAAAATTTAAATAATTTTTAATTAGAATATTATGCTAGTTGTGAAATTAGAAATTCTTTTTATTATTATAACGATTTATCATATGCACAATAAGAATTTAATCGTGCCTCTGGAGCAACTTTCAGAGAAAGATTAGTTCCAAAGTAGGAATATTCGTTAGATAGTTCCAAATCCTAATTTTTGATAATCTCGCAGACATATTTTCATATAAGTGATGTGAAAATTTATTTATTTTTACGATCAATGTGAAAATTTATTATTAACCATTTATTATCGAGATCCATTTATGAGAGTATCTTAACAAATATTTATTCAATCGTAACAAAAAT